ACACATTCACGTGTCTTCTATATTGACAAAAGATCATTGTAAAACAAAGGAATTAATACAAAAATAACCTTTATCTCATTTCACAGTTTGATGACTGAGCTTCATGACTACTGAAAACTCAACTGACAAATTGTTTCAAGAGACAAAATAGTTTTGATGAATATTTTTGTGTTGAATTGGCCATGACAGCTCTGTACTTTAACACACAAACACATCAACGGCCATGTCCAGTGAGTTCTCTCTGATTTATTTTCTATTAAACACACAGAATGTAGCTGTTACTAAATAGGCCTGCTTAATTTAACTTTATTTATGAATCACTATACATTTTATTTGTATTTTGTGTGTCTTCATGCGTTTACAGGGAACTCTAATCATACCTTATTTCTGGTTATACAATTTCTTCATTTATAAAAATTAAATATATAGCAAATGGTCACAAAATGATAATTCTTTTTGATGATTCTTTGGTTTCTTGGTTTGCTGCCGGTGCAGACTCGGTGTTTGTGTAACTGACAACCTGTAATCAGTGAGAGGACGCAGACTGAGGCCGGACACACAGCAGGCAATTACAATGTTTGGGAAAATAAATGAAATGACTAACAAAATAGGTCAAATTAAGTGTTTCCCAGACACTAAAAAGACCTCCCTAATTGCAGGTCCCTGAAGGGACAAGAATACAAAAACAACAAAACATTATATTGTATCGGCCGATGACGAGGGAAGAGACGCAGACTGAGAACGGGCTGTGGGAGAAGAAAAGGACACGGCATGGTTTGTATAATTGCATGTTTTGCCTCGAGCGGCGAGTGTGTACGTCCGTCAATCACCATCAGGGAGCCAGCGCGGAGCAGATGGTGGAGGAAGGAATCGAGCCGGTCATTGACTTTGTCTCTGCTGAGGGAAGGAAGATGGAGACAACAGAATCAAAGACTGTATTGCATGTTGGCAAACTATTGAGTTGTGCATGGACGGCCTCCACGAGAAGAGGCTCATTAGATATGGAGGATATGAGGAGGCAGGATGTAAATCAATGCAAAGGCCTTCTCTTCTTTTCATCCTACTCCTACTCAAGCAGGCGACCACTCGCACACGCCGTCCTCCAACAAGTTACCCAAGATTCTTCACAAGCTGCTTGTGTGGTGAGAAAAACAGCCAAAAATACTCTGCACGACTGACGAGTTTATACAATCCTTCCTGTTTCCAGCTCCACTAAATGTGCAGTAAAATAAAATGCTAGTGTCCTTCCTGCACACAGGGATGAATGGACATGGGAGTGTTTGAAGCTTGCTGCTGGGGAATCTAGTTAGAGAAGAGCCACAATGACATTTCCTCAGCCCCCTGTTAGGGGGATTGGAGCTGGAAATTGCACCTCAGTGCTAAACCAAGCCTGAGCTTTAATTAACAGCAGCACACAAAAGGTGACGGACATCGCCTGCAGCTCACAGCTCTCATGTTTCAATCCCGCTCTCAAGGAAGTGTCTGGGAAATTTGGGCAGGTGTCGAGGAAAAACAAAACCCCACGGCAGCAGCCCACCATTGTGTTTACTCAGCAGCACAGTCATTGTGATCGTCAAAGGGCACGGCTCCACACCGGACTGACAGAGGGACAACTGTTACTAAACAGAGAGGGAAGCTTTTTGCATTTCAGGACTCATTAAAATACGTGTTATTTAATGATCACTTTATTATGATTGTCCCCACATGACTACAACATAATCTATTGTCTAAAACTAGTAAATATCAGATTGTAGGGTTAATACCTCACACAGGGAGAATGCATCAGTACAGTAAACCAGATAGGAAATGTGTTTGTTACAGAAAAGCATTCAAATACAATAAATGACAAACTTAAGTTTATTGGACATGCATATTACAGAGCAGTTAGAAATAGCTGATTCCAGTCCTGCCTCCCAGAAATACATCTTCTTATATATTACCATTTGTTTTGGCCAAATGCATTTTGAGGGGAAGCTGCCGCCTGGACTTTGTTCTGAAAAGTCACAAACAAATTTGTGAGTGAAGGAAATGAACAAGGAGGGGTCGGGGGGGATCTACAACGTTCAGGACTTTCACACTGACTGAGTACTGCTGAGGCAAAAAGGCTTTGTGGGTTAGGTAAGGGAGATATTGTAGATTTATATAAATGTAGAAATGTTAATGAAAGTAATTCACTGTTGACATTTTCAGTATTTAACCAAGAACGCATATTTCCTGTCATCTGTGAAGAGGGGGCAACCTCCGGGTCTGAAAAGTGAAGCCTTAAACCTCAATTCTCTCTCATATCCAGGGGCGACTCCATTGGTTTAAAGAACACACATTGTATAGAAGTCTATGAAAAAATGACCGTTTTTCTCACTTCTAACCTTAATAAACATTTTCCTGCTGAGTTTCTGGTATCAAGCTGTCTGTTCATTTAGTTAATGATGGTCTCATTTCGAGTCCATCATGAGGGGTTTAAGGCCCCGGCTCCACGGGAACGCATACGGCAAAACGCATAGGAGTAACGCAAACGCAAACGCCAAAAACCTTCCGCCCACACGCAATATACACCGGATTGTGTCAAGCTACACGAGACGGCTCCATTTACATCCAACCGCTGGAAAAGCTGCAGTACATATGCCGAGCCTGTACGTGGCGCTGTAACTTCCTCCACAAAAGCAGCGAAGAAGAATGGTTGTCATGGCTGCACTTCTGTTTATTCTCCGCGGTGGGGGCCGAGGGATCCGGGCAGAGTTTTTCGCCGGTCAGCGTGTGTTAAAGTTTAAATCTTCCGGACAAAATTATAAAAGTGCCGGTCAAAGGTCTTCTTTGTTATTTATTGAGCTTTAAAACAAATGAATAACGACGATATAATGATATGATAATAAAATACACGGAGCCTGTCTCTTTTTCCTCTCTTCTGACAGCGTCAGTGTCTGTCTCATGCAGCAGCTGATCCAGTAATGATGACTCGACAGTAAAAATAAACATATTTATAACTAGTTTAGGTAGTTTGAGAGGTAATTAAAATAGCTAAGGGTGGTGATCTGACTTGAAGTGTGTGTTTTGCTCCCGCTGCATCACAGCGGGAGGAGCTGCGTGTCTCCGTCCTGTCAGATTAGACTTCACTCGCGTTTATGTCCATATCGAGATAAAGATAAATAATCTGAATTCAGTGTGCAGTGTACTTTTGCGGGGGTGAGCAGCAGAGGCGGGGCTATTGCGTCGTCATTATCAGAAACGGATGACCGTATAGGCGACCCCACGGCCCCGTTGGAACCCCCAGAGCGCTCCGTTCCCAGATCTATCCACCTTTGGACCCGTTGTCGTTTGCAGGGTCTGTTTCTACGTTTCCGTTACGGCGCCGTGCAGCTTAGAGGGCTATACGCATGAGAAATATGCGGATTCAACCCGTTTTCGTTCCCGTGGAGCCTAGGCCTGAGACACACTTCAGAGGCTGTGACCTCTGTGTTGATTCACAACCTTGTGACTGCTCCTTCTGAGATGCACTCGGGGCCTCCCACTGTTACTGACGCCTGCTTATAACGTCTGAAATGAATATTTAATATGCTTTATGCATACACAATACAATTCAATTAGAGACATTGATTTTGGGTCATATGATGATATGTGGAAGCTCATGTCGATATCGAGCTCAGCCTGGCTGTCACACACACACACACACACACACACACACACACACACACACACACACACTGAAACACTTCTTCTCCACACTGCAGCAGGAAGACAGCTGGAGCTCTGAAGAAGTAACACATGGCTCCAACAGGAGAACACTGCAGAACACGTTACAGAGAAGGAAAGAGAAGGCTTTATGAACGGCTGGATGTGTGTCATGACTTTTCTTTATCAGATATGGAAGGCCCTACGGCCAGTCTCTGTGCAGATATAGTGAATGACCTTGTAATGTTACCTTTATTCTAGCAAACCTCATTGATTCACTTATTTTTAATTGAACATTTCCTACAATAGAAAAAGTAACAACATTTCTAAAAACCCTGTGTACGGCAGAGGAAGTGAAACTGCTTTTGTCCTGAGGAATTTAGTCTATTAGAGATTTATTTTGAAATGATAAACATCAAGTTCTCTTCCAACAGTTAACCCTAATAAAAGGTGGTCCAGCATCTATAACCCAGCGCACAGGAGCAACACCTACACGCATTGCAGATGTAATATGTAACAGTGTATTGTTTCAGTTATGCTCAAACAGACATACTGATTCCTTGTTTACTTTTTTACCCTGAAACATACTGTTATATTATTTCATTCCTCTTCTGTATTTGATTTGATTCAAACATATTGATCCTATTTGTCAGTTGCTTTCTGACGAAGTGTGGTGTGATCTTTAGAAAGCAGGAGCAGAGCGCTCTGCTTCAACCGCTGGCAAACAAATCCACAAAATAACATGAACAGTACCTTTTCAACAAAGGCCAAAACCTTTGAGAGAATTCTGACAGAAGTTGAACATGTTGTGAAGCACAACAGTGGTTCATGTTCTGTAGAGGATGTCTTTCTTTGGGCTAATGAGGAAACCCCCCCCCAGGATCAGAATGCTGTCGGACAGTGAGGAGAGGACTCACCGTGGTGTGTTCAGGGCTCCAGCGCGCCCCTCCGCCTCAGCAGGATCCTCTGCAGCTGCTCATCACCTCCGGCTGACGGAGGCACCACCTTGGCTTGGGGGGAGGCTCTACCGAAATTCTCCTTGACAGTTTCAACAAAAACACAGAGAGACAGTTCAGCAACTAGAGCTGCACAGGTACCATGACCGCTTACAATCATGTCCAAAGATCTGGTAGTGTTTACAGATATCTGACTGACTGCAGTTCTACTTATTTTCTTTTGGTAGTGTATGTAAATATAGACTGCAGCTCAATGAATGTTGCAGTAGCACTTTCTCTTAGTTGAAATATATTTTTTAACATTAAATACAACTTTAAATGCAGGTGTGAACACAGTCACAGGTCCAGCAGTTCCATGTGCTCTGTGAGGACATTGGATTGTTTTAAAGGGCCATTACCATGATTCCTTTAAGTTCCTGGATGGCAGAATTAGAGGGCAGCCTCTCCCTCTGATAAAAGGAAAATAGGAGGGAAAAGATTGGTTTGGTAAATAAACAGCAGTCTGACACATTATACTTATTTTTCCTCATTCAGCACTTAGAGGCTAAACGGCACCTCTTACCACAGAGCCGAGACACTGTAGGCAAGCACGACGATGTATGCTTTCTACAAGAAGCACAACACAATCATCTTGAGTCACGTCAATTTTCCCATCCTCATTATTTATAATTACCTGGTGGAGCAGGTCCTAATGCTATCTAATTTGGCGGAGTTGTTGTGGCGGAGGAACATGCCGACTAAAATATGTCTTGGCCATTATGTCATGTGTTATCAAAACAAGCAGCTCTTAAATAATCCCACACACTGATGGATTTAAGTTAGCTTTAGTCTGCAGATTTGAACAAGGAGGAAAACACAGCACACACATGCACTTTCTTTAACGACTCCCCATGTTGAGGTTGTAATGTCTTCATTCTGACTTAATGCTCAGTATTCACCGAGAGAAGTCTCTGCAGTGTGTGCTGGACCTTTCTGCTGTGTTCCTGTCAAAGGACGGGGGGGGGGGGGGGGGACTCGGCAGACCTGATCATAGTTTAGGACTACTTTACATACGTTCAAAGACATTTTTTTTAATTGAATAGAAATAGTGGAGGATACGTGGACTATTCAGAGCAGGCATCACCTGTGCAGGGGTGTGTTCATGAGAAATGAGAGAACACAGCGCTGCGGTGTTGTTTGCCCTCACTGACAGTTTCCTGGCCTCAGACTGAAGGTTAAAAGCTTTCCTGAACTGGCTCTTAATGTCACAAACACAGCAGGTGGCAGGCAGTGTTGGCTAATACACCATTTAAGTGGATTATTGAGAGTACCTGTTTCCTGCTTCTGTTGGGTGATTGGCTGACAGGTCGAAGTTGAACGCCTCTCTTGATCCTGAGCATCATTTCCTCCACGGCCTGCTGCCTGACATCCACTTCTTGGAATAAAAGAGAAACACAAGCAGGAGAGAAACACGTGTCCTTAGTTCTTCTTATTAACGGCTTCTCAAAAACTCAACAGCAGTCTGCCTCAGTGCCACGAACCAAATTGAGTTGAAATGATTGTGAGTGGTCTCTGTAATGTACAGCTGTTATTAGCACTGCCCTTTTAAAATAGCTTATTTGAATGTAAAAAAGAATCAAACCTCTGGGACCAGGATCAATGAAGTTTCTTTGGCCAAACCCACAGCTTTTCCACTTTAGGGGTTGATTTGGCTGTACTTATAGAACATATAATAATCACTGCCGTGCACAAACATTCTGTAGAGCTCAAAGTACACCTGTGGAGTTTAGAGCATTTGTAGTTCATGAGGTTATCTAAACTATTCAGGAATTCAATTCAAACCCCTGCGTAAAAGCACTATTCAGCAATTTCTCATCCAAAAGTTCTGAGAGGATAAGAGGCTTTCTCCAGTTCACAAAAGATGGGGACAAAACATATTTTTCTGCCATAATGCATTGGCAAAGAATGTTCATATTGAATTTTCCAGTGCAGAACATTCAATGGAATACACAATGGAAGTATTGTCAGTAAGATGTCTTTAAAATGTCACACAAAAATAATTTTGTGTTAAACTGATAGTAAAATATTTTCCTCCAAAGAGCCTATTATTCAGGTGTCAGAGTAGAAGATCCTTGGGTGGCATCTATTCAGCCCTGTGTGTAATTCCAACAAACCCCTGTGTGGAGCGCCCAACTGAGGCCTCATATATTCCTGTCACAAAATGAAGACTGTGAAGCTGTTCAGTTCACATGCATGTCCTACCCGCTCCTACGTACGTACGGAAGTCAAGGCTTCCCTTTTGTTTGCACAAATTGAAAAATGTGTCACGTTGACCTTATAGGCAAATGATCAAGTCTTATGTTTGATTTACCATGCACCACTGCTTCAACTTGTGTCTTTATGCACAACATTCACTTTGATTTGCAAAGGACAGGTTGAAAAGGAGGAAATCTGATTGAAACAGGATAGAAGACCAGCTGTCCTGACACGCATGAGAGAAATCAGCCCCCAGGAGAATAACATACAAAATGAACACACATCACACAGAGAAAGGAAAGATCAAAACACAGTTTGAACCATGATGCCGTAAAGAACATGTCTAGTTGACTTAACTGGTTAGATGTATTCCAATGCATCTTATACATATAATATTATAAATACAAACATGCCCTTACACACCATGCTTACACAAAGAAGCAAAGTCCCTGTCCTGGTGTACCTGGTGTCTTAGCAGAGTCCTGGCCCACCAGTGGGATGTCAGTACTGATGTCTCTCCTCTTTCGGATCAACAACAGCAGAGAACTGCAGGAAAGACACGGTTAGGGTTGGTATTTAGCAACACGCTTTCCAGGATCCCAAAATTGCTAAGAGGTATTGATTTTGATGAACCAATGTTCTTGTAGGGCTTCCAGGTTTTAATCATAACAATATTATATAGCTCTAGTTTTCACACACAACACAGGTCACCATTAAATATTCAGATTTTACAGATCTACATTACACATATAACAACAAAGACTATAACACCTCTGTTGTGCAATATCACTTTTGTGTAATATATATATAGATATATATATATATCTATATATATATACTGCCCGTCCAAAAGAGAAGTTGCCCACTAATATTTCGTTGGACCGCCTTCAGCTTTGAGTGCGGCAGGCCGTCGCCGTGGCATCATTTCGATAAGCTTCTGCAATGTCACAAAATGTATTTCTGTCCAGAGTTGCATTCATTTTCTGCCAAGATCTTTTATTGATGATGGGAGAGTCGCACCGCTGCGCAAAGTCTTCTCCAGCACATCCCAAAGATTCTCCACTTTCTTTGGACGGGCAGCACCGGGCATACACCGTTTATAATTGTTATTATTACTGGATCTATCTCTAAGTTAGAACATTCAACTACTGTAACACATCTGTTAATGACTCCAATATAAACGTCCACTCTTACTACTGTTACCTGGCTGCTATCACACTACTCTATACATGCTTTCATAGTACGAAAGCTGCATCAAACAATGCATCAATGTAAACAGGATGTCCCTGACTGATGATGCTCAGAGCTGATGGTGATCAAACCTGAGTGGGTTAGAGGTTGGAGCTGGGGCAGGAGGAGGAGGTGGTGGGGGTGGGGGTGGAGCTGGGTGGGGGTTGGTAGCAGCCTGCAGCTTCTTCTGGAGCTCCTCGACTGGACACACAGCGGCAGCCCCGAGAAGAGAAAAGGAAACTGTGAAGAACAACTGCTGCTCTTCCTGCTTCTCTTCACTCTCTATTCTGCCTTGTCCTCTGAATGTACAGTGTACCGCCCCACAGTGCATCCTGTCCTTACACTTCCAAATAGGCATTCACCTGTAGAGCGCAGATCCTTGACCTCTACTTCAGCCTTGGAGCATTTCTCACTGTACTCCCTCTTCTCCTCCTCCACAAGCTCCAGTGTCCGCCTCAGTGCCGTCAGCTCCCTCTGAGCCTCACAGCTCCGCAGCCTGTCCTCCGCCTGCTGCACCTGACAACACACACGTGTCCTCAACTAGCTCAGTGTTAACACAACAAACATACACTAATACACGTACATGTATATATATAACCCCCCCTACATAACAATATAATCACTCTCTGAAAACCACCCATGTTCAAAAGCATCTTGTCTTTAAAGGATCATCAACATTACTCTATTCAGCAAGAAGCTGTACATATGGACTGGTAATGATGCCAGGGTTGCTCCTCGGCACTGCTGAGGTGCCCCTAAGCAAGGCACCAAACCCTCAACTTTCTGAGGAGCCTAACCATTTGCGGCCCTGGCGCACTTGATTTGAAAGGAAATGTAACTTGTGTTTATTCTTAATAGGGCTAAATGTTCCTATTCTAGTAAAAGAGCAGCTCTGTGGTTTGTGATGAGGAGCATTGGGAAGCTGCCAGGTGACTTTCACTCATCTGCCTCCCAACCCCAGTTCCTTAACCAGGGTTTGAATTGTTCCTCAAATGAAGGGTATGGCTCACCTCCACCCTGCACCGCAGAGAGCAGTGATCCCACTCAGCTCTAATTGTCTTCCATCAGTGCCAGAGGAGGGATGCCGCTGCTTTCATTGTTAATCTGGCAGTTCACATCCTCTAGTATTTACTGCTGCGGCCTGTGATCATTCACCAGGCCTTTCTACCCATTGTATTCAAGCAGCTAAATAACTCTTCTTCTGATGCCTATACAGAACATTTAAGCACACACATCATTCTCTTCTATTTAACTCTTTCAGTTGTTTTTAACCTCATCAAGTTTGGTTTACTGTGAGGTGCAAAGTGTTGCAAATACCTGCTGTAATGTGGAAGTTAAGCCTCACTATGACACGTCCACATTTGTCTCACAAATTATAAGTCAAAATGCACAAAGAGACAATGTTTTCTTCACCATTTCCTCACCAGGTCATCATGCCCAACCCAGAACCAAAGAAGTCAAGCTGTATGTGTGTGTGTGTTCCACAGTGTGTGCAGGGTGTGTGTGTGTGTGTGTGTGTGTGTGTGTGTGTGTGTGTGTGTGTGTGTGTGTGTGTTTCACAGTGTGTGCAGGGTGTGTGTGTGTGTGTGTGTGTTCCACAGTGTGTGCAGGGTGTGTGTGTGTGTGCGTGTGTGTGTGTGTTCCACAGTGTGTGCAGGGTGTGTGTGTGTGTGTGTGTGTGTGTGTGTGTGTGTGTTCCACAGTGTGTGCAGGGTGTGTGTGTGTTCCACAGTGTGTGCAGGGTGTGTGTGTGTGTGTGTGTGTGTTCCACAGTGTGTGCAGGGTGTGTGTGTGTGTGTTCCACAGTGTGTGCAGGGTGTGTGTGTGTGTGTGTGTTCCACAGTGTGTGCAGGGTGTGTGTGTGTGTGTTCCACAGGGTGTGTGTTCCACAGTGTGTGTGTTCCACAGGGTGTGTGTTCCACAGGGTGTGTGTTCCACAGTGTGTGTGTTCCACAGGGTGTGTGTTCCACAGTGTGTGTGTTCCACAGGGTGTGTGTTCCACAGGGTGTGTGTTCCACAGGGTGTGTGTTCCACAGGGTGTGTGTTCCACAGTGTGTGTGTTCCACAGGGTGTGTGTTCCACAGTGTGTGTGTTCCACAGTGTGTGCAGGGTGTGTGTGTGTGTGTGTTCCACAGTGTGTGCAGGGTGTGTGTGTGTGTGTTCCACAGGGTGTGTGTTCCACAGTGTGTGTGTTCCACAGGGTGTGTGTTCCACAGGGTGTGTGTTCCACAGTGTGTGTGTTCCACAGGGTGTGTGTTCCACAGTGTGTGTGTTCCACAGGGTGTGTGTTCCACAGGGTGTGTGTTCCACAGGGTGTGTGTTCCACAGGGTGTGTGTTCCACAGTGTGTGTGTTCCACAGGGTGTGTGTTCCACAGTGTGTGTGTTCCACAGTGTGTGTGTTCCACAGGGTGTGTGTTCCACATGGTGTGTGTTCCACAGGGTGTGTGTTCCACAGTGTGTGTGTTCCACAGGGTGTGTGTTCCACAGTGTGTGTGTTCCACAGGGTGTGTGTTCCACAGGGTGTGTGTTCCACAGTGTGTGTGTTCCACAGTGTGTGTGTTCCACAGGTGTGTGTTCCACATGGTGTGTGTTCCACAGGGTGTGTGTTCCACAGGGTGTGTGTTCCACAGTGTGTGTGTTCCACAGGGTGTGTGTTCCACAGGGTGTGTGTTCCACAGTGTGTGTGTTCCACAGGGTGTGTGTTCCACAGTGTATGCAGGGTTCTCTCTCAGACCTGCTGCTGCAGCTCCAGCCTCTGTGTCTCCAGCTCCTTGCTCAGTGTGCCGACCTGGCTGAGGGCCTCCTGCAGAGCCTCACTGGGGGAGGAGCTCTGCATCAGGATCTGACTCTGTCTCTTCAGCTTCCTCTGCTCCACCAACATCTGAAGGGGGACCACAAGAGGATAGACAGGACACATTGTTGGGGACAAAACAGCATATGAACTCTTCATAGGAAGAATAAGAGAGGAATATAGACAGTACTGTCAAATTGAATTTGACCTTAACCAGTAAAACTGCAATTTCAATCTAAGTTGGTCCAAAACTTCATCATTTTGATTGTATCCCATTAGACATTAACTTAACTAACGTTAACTCATGAGGCAGGGACAGACAGACGAACTGAAACATGATGTGTTACCGCTCTGGCAAAGCCCTCTGCCTCTGTCCTCAGGTCCCTTTCCAGGTCCAGAGTGTCCTGTAGGGCCTCGTATTCCTCCACAGCAAACTGAGACACTGCACAAAGAGTTCCTCATTGGGTCGGTTATGCCTTATATCAGTAAAGCTACATGAAGTCCATATCAGTCTATGATGTTATCGTTATACCCTGGTTTAACCAAGTGAGACGATGCTCATTAGGATCCATGTGTTTATGTTAGATTATTAGTGATAATGTTTCTTCAAATGTTTCCGAATGATATACTGAATGTGCAATGCCCCCCCCCACCAACCTCTGTTATATTTCCCCAGGAGCTTCTTTTGCCGCACTGCCTCAGCAATGAAAATGGTGTTATCATGTTTCTCTTTCAGCAACTGCATATATAAAAAGGGACAGAGTAGAGAAACAAAACAGAGAGATGTTGTGAGTTCTGTTTCATAGTGAGAATGATATTGTTTAAATAAACAAGAACAAGACAAATAAGCAGGGGAGGAAAATGGCTAGCAGCTAAGTATGCCTGACTTGTAGTGAATGGGATAAGAACACTGGTGTGGTACTAACACAATGAAAGCCTGGCACTGAAGTTCAGACAAAGTCCTGAAAAAGAAATCATGGTTAGGTTTCCTTATTTGTCAAGACGGAAGGAAAGGAAGAAGGAGGAGAGAGGTGGAGGAGGGAGGAAGAGAACAAGTATTTTGGTTTAGTTTGTGTCTGCATCTATTTTTGAACCCAAATAAACTGAAACTAAGCAGAGCTGTGAGCCCTCAGTGAGTAGGTAGCAACACAAGAAGACACACAGAAGCCGACACATAGTAGGAGCCGGTCAGTGTGAAGCTCCGAGGGGTCCGAGGGGCCCCTGTCCCTCCTGGTATTTGGCATTGCCCTTCAGCATATGTTATGGCCTTTTAATGGCTGGTATAGCTGAAAGGCTTAGACATAATTAACTCAAGTAGACCTAACAACTCATCATTTCTATATTACTGCCTTCATTTCTATATTACTGCCTTTTCATGTGACAAAACTGACATTCTGCAAGCTAAAGGGAGGAACATACTGTAGCACAAAAAGGTCCTTATTTTGATGGGTAATGCAAAAACCTTACTGCCCTTCAGAGAGATGTCCCTTTGCCAGGAAAATCTGCAGCTGCACTGATACACTGTAGTGTCCTTCTGTCAATCAGCTGTTGATACTAACGAGAGACAGGGATACAAGGCTGAAGTCATGCCGTGGTGATGACATGTTGAAGATACCACACATCATTTCAATTCATCTGAATGCTGCTGCTGGCTTAGTAAAGAGATGGACAGTGTGCACTGAGTTTGGACATGTGATGGACTGAAAACCACAGCAAAGGAAGAGGAGACGCTTTCTCTTGTTACAACAAGAGAAAGCGTCTTGCCATTGACATACATTTATTATGAAGAAAAATGTATAGTGTTAGGACAGAAAAAGGCAAAACAAAACAAAAAAACTGACTTCTTCCCTTGTTTCCCTCAGTTGTTCTGTTACTGACTCCAGATCAGTGACGGCTTGTTGTTTCTCCTCACGTGTTAACTCCAACTCCTGTTGAAGCTCTGAAACAAAGAAAACCAAAGCAATGCACACACATGTCATGCACACACTACTGGTTGTTTCCTGAGCTTTCTTCTCATCATGGTTCCTCTTGTAGAGGACACTGACAGCACTCTTTAGGATGCCATCACTGTCCCCAAAACCAAATCAATCAATGAAAGGGTCAGCCTTCAGCTTTATCAATCTGTTGTTACTGCCAAGGTGAGTGTGACTGGCTTTAATGTAATGTTGGGGAATTACTAGTTATATAATGAAAACAAAATACACCGCTGGGATTAAAGTACAAGATTTGTGATGCTTTTGTATTTTAAATATTTGAATATGTACTCCACAACAGTGGTAAAAAGATGTTGAACACAAAATATACTACAGGAGTCATGCATTCATTGATTTGTGATATGCGTTAGCAATACTAAAAGTAATGGATATGAAAATACTGTAAAATAAAAAAACAAGCAGCACCAACAGACTGTATTGCTGTGTTATAATGCTGGTAATTCACTTATTGTGTTAACTGCATCAAATGCAAGGATTGCTGTGCCCATGAGAGTTTAGTAACACCACTGTCTGAAATCCTTTCTGAAATGACACATAGATGAAATCTGTTACTATACAGCAGATCACAGCAGGACCAGGCTGAGACATTTATGAGAGTACTTAAGCAGAAAAGGGTTGCTGACACCTACAATTGTTTTTGGTGAGGGGTAGAGTGCACTTTGCCGAGAATAACATGTATTCTGATGGATAAAAGTCTCATATTAAAAGAAAATGTTAAAGCAAGTCTGAGCAAACGAGCAGTTTTCACAATGCTGGGACTTTTATTGACCCCACCTTTGATGATAAAAAACAGCTGTTCCTGAATTATTCTGCCTTTAAACCTTTATATAGTTTAAGTGTACATTTGTACAATAAGAGTGTCCTATTATATATTATTATATATGTGTTGCCAGACAGGAAATGGATTTGACTGGCTTGCTATTAACATGAAATTATGAATGTTCAACATAATAAGCCCACAATCTTATTTCTGAATGTAATCATCTTCTGAATCAGAGTATATCATTTGCAAATGGCATGATTATCTCTCACTTATAATGCCAACAGCCTTGAACAACATGATGGGGAAAGCATCATGCAAAATGAATCCATTATCACCAGAGGTATAATTACTGATTGACTACAGGAACTAACCATGACATTTCCAAGAGACGGCTGGAGGAGAAGTATCCTGTACTTCAGACTCACTGAACATACTGTTCAAAGTTACTGCTAACGTGCTCTATGCACGTGCAAGCACTGCATACTTTTAATGTAATGCATTGTGGGAGATTCGGCATTTGCTTTGAGTAATATATGAATTATACAGTATAATGAGGAGTATTGCCCTTCAATCCAAATGATCAAATAATCCTTCAAACTGATTATCATTGATGGACTTATTTATCAATGATTGTTAGAACTTCATTGGAATATGATTTCAGATTTCATAGAGATATTCATTTAATCAGATGAAGATTTTAAGGCCCAAACTGTAAGCTGATAAACATATACAAGTGACTGTATATGCCATTTCTGGGGGGGGGGACTTTTTTTTGCCATCGCTTGTAATTTTACTATTCATATCTTACACTGCTCTGTAACTTTTATTCATGTATTTTATACCTGTGTTATTCTACATTAGCTTGTTTTATGTTTATTGTATTCTTTGCTTTTTAATGACTGTTTTAATGACTGTTTTTAATGACTGTTTTTAAATGTCATTTATAAAGTGATTCCGCTGCACTATTTCTTAATGCTCTTAATGTTTTTCATTTTTGTAAAGCACTTTGAATTGCCTTGTGTTGAAAGGTTCTATATAAATAATTGTGCCTTGCAGGACTTCTAAAATACCCTCTAAAACCTTGAACTACTTCAACAGCGCACATCTTTTGGCTGTTTGTGGCTTGGGTCTGACTTGCTGGTAAATGTGTGTTTTTATATACAGTTCATCCTGGGCTGGAGACAGGTTGTACCTGAGATGTTGCTCTGGCACTGGGGGGAGGGGCAGAGAAGGCTGTCTGCATGTCCCTCCTCCTGCTCCTCCTCCTCTTGGTCCATGAGGTTGATCTCAGTGATGGTCTTTGGGCTGAGGTGGGGCAGCATCATCATGCTCTTCCTCTTCAGAGAGCGGTTCTGACGCTTCAGCTGCAGTGTGGAGGCACAAAGAGAAACAAACACCTGTGATTTTCAGAGGCATTATATGGCAAACTATTTAAAGAGCTACATGATATGTTTAATATCAGTCAAATAGTGTTCCATTACTGTATGAAGCACTTTAGAAAAGTGTTAACTCTTTAGATCAGGGGTGGGGAACCTTTTTCCTCTCAAGGGCCATTTCAAATTGTTCAACATCCTCCGAGGGCCGTACAAATGATTGACCTCTGCTTAAAAATACTAAAATCACAGCCCATTCATTTGGCCTTTCTTTCATGCTGTGCAAAGAAAGAGAACCTCTTAATCCAGATATCTCACCATGACTCGTGCATGCATTCATGTGCACGGTGTGGCATGACCACCAACACAGAAAGATATGGACACACGATGTGTGCAAATGTATTTAGATTCCTATCCATGTGAACATGACTTAAGTGGGGGGGGACCTAACCTCCTCTAGGGGGGTCCGGGGGCTTGCACCCCCGGGAAGATTTTCTTTTTAAATGTTGAAGTTAAAAGCATCAATCTGGTGCACTTTGAGAGCAACATTAAGAGATCTATGGATACATCTCTCAACACCCATATGAAACAGAACCGTGAGCAGATTTAATTTTTCTTTATGGATATTTTACAAATCACTCCCCTTTTAAACTGTATTCTTGTTTACAACTTTTTTTTACTGTCATTTTATACCTGTTTACTTTATTCTCTTGTTTTTTTATAACTATAATGATCATATAAAGATGTGCCTTTACCTCACTGGTTGGAGAAAAAGCTTCTTAAATTCGTTAGCATAGCTAGCTAACCAGATGCTACTAACAACAAAGTTCTTGACTGTATGATCAGTATGACAGATGAACAGATCGCCACTGGGTTTACAACTAAAGACACAGCCACGCAAAAACTGCGGCATGTGTACGGCTCCTTATGGGTACTGCAATCTTTGAAGTCCCGGGTGTTTCTCAATCGCGAGTAAAGCTGCTGCAGAGCCACTATTTCAAGCATACTACGTCATCGAGTGCCGCCGAAGTACTGTTCCAATCTCCAGCATACTTGGAAATCTACCGAGCCCGGCGTACTCCGTTTGGAGAAATATCGAGGCTGCACATGTGTAGACTCCGCGGTCTTAAAATCCCCACAATGCTTTGCGCACGGACCAATTTCCCCAAATCTGCAATATGGTCTAGCTGCAGCCGCAGCAAATACACGACACGCCCCCTACACGACACGCCCCCTACACGACACGCCCACCCGACACGACACTACGGTGGCTGAGAGACATTAGGCTTGTTTGAAACGAGCTGCGGCTCGCCTCAAAAGTAGACGAGAATAGCCGATCGCAGCCGGGGGAGGTCTCAAAAAGCTCGCCTGAAGTCGGACAGCTCGGAGTCTGCTTCTTCCTCTTCTTCTTCTTCTCTCGGTTTTTTGGTGGATTGCAAACAACTTTAAGGTGCATACCGCCACCTCCGGAGTCGGCTTGACTCGGTTTGCATTTATAAAGAATGCACAAATGTGTTTAATCGTTAATGTCAGATATGTACTAAGTAAATACATTTGTTCCTGCTCAAGATTAGATTCAACTTTATTGTTAGTGCACAGATTACAGGTACTGAGACAACGAAATGCAGTTTAGCTTCTAACCAGGAGTGCATAAAGCAGTAAAGTGAAAAGTAATGTACACAATCTACAGAATAAAATATAGAATGAATTGAATGATGAAAAAACAGTGAGGGGTATGAATACACTATATACACAGTAGCCTAGCCTAGTATGAACAGTGTGTTGTATGAATATGCTAAGATATATAAAGTATGACAACGGTAAGCAGTGCAAGTATAGTATAAAATATATAGATATTAATTTAATGATAATAAACATTGTGGAACAATGATGAAAAATGTGAATGGAAGTGGCGACGTAAAACTGACACAAAACAACACACTTTTGCCGAGCCAATGGAGAGTTTCATCACCAGCACGGGGTAAAACCCACCAATGAGCGCTCAGCTCGAGATACCAGCGAGTCGTTTCCCATCAAGCATTTCGCTTCCGCAGCCCGGGGAGAGAAACTGCGCCGCCTCGCCGCGCCTCGCTCTCAAGTCTGCGGGCGTCTTTGTCCCGCGAGATTTCAACGTCTCATGTAGGCGAGCCTTCAGAGCAAGTCGGACAAAATGACTAACCATCATGCAACGCACTAGCAAGACGTTGATCGCAATTGCGCAGGTCTGCGCAGGTCTCGCTTGTCTCAAACAAGCCTAGTGATACCGTACATGGCAGATTAAAAACGAATTGCAAATGTTATTGTAGCATTTTAAGCAACTATTAGGCAAATTAATTAATAATCTAGTCTATCCGTTTGAGACACAACAGTATATGACTTTAAGCACAAATCATTTTGTCTAATTAATAAATTAAAACAAAAAGGGGGCTTAGTAAAACTTTATTTTTTAGAACACATAAAATAGGTAATAATGAGATCTATTAATTATGTTTGTCTAACTGCTACACATGTATTTATACATACATGTAGATATTTATGAACATCTAAATATAGTTGTTAAAGGTTTTAAGATATAAATAATCACATCATGGGGTCATTAAGGTTTCAAACAGGTTCATGTAAGGTAGGCCTACCTTCATGAAAACATGATTTTTAAAACTAATTTCTGAATCTCACATTAGCCTGTACAGTAGTTTGGTATGTTATTGATATGGGCTGGACCAGTGGCGTCGCCTGGCCTGGGCATCCGGGGCTTTAGCCCCGAATGTTTTTTCTGTAGCCCCGGACAATTCTCCCTCAATAATATAATACATTAACCGTGCTTTACGTGAACCTCATCATGACACGAGAGGACGGCAGCACTGTAATTTCCCGTGTTCAGTGAATGCAACAGAGGCATGACACCAGACCAATCAGAGAGTTGCATAGAAATAAACGTGTGCTTGTGTCATTCAAGCTCGGCTCTGTGTGTGTGTGGCAATAGCGCATTTAGTGTGATAGAGAGAGAGGGAGAGAGGGGAGGGAGGGAGAGAGGGGGAGGGAGGGACCGGTGCCAGCAGGGACCGTGTTGTTAGCATCTGGTTAGCTAGCTGCACTAACGGACATAAGGAGCTGTTTGTTCCACAACAAGCTGGAGGAGAGTCCTCTCCTCTCAGACTGAGAGACTCAGGTGAGCTAAAGGACTCTCTGAGTGTGATACTTAACTTTAGTCTAAGTTATCTCAGTGGGTCTCAAACGGTTTGGTCACAAATTATTCAAAAGATTATTTCCGTGGCACACCTTCATATGATCATTATAGTTATACAAAAAATAAGAGAATAAATGAAAAACAGTTATGAAATACTATATGGCAGTAAAACAAGAATAGAGTTTAAAAGGGGAGTGATTAGTAAAATATCCATAAAGAAAAAGTACATCTGTTTACAGTTCTGCTTCATATGGGTGTTGAGAGAGGTATCCATAGATCTCTTCATTTTGCTCTCAAAGTGCACCAGATTGATGCATTTAACTTCAATATTTAAAAAAAAATCTTCCCGGGGGAGCATCCCCCCGGACCCCCCTAGAGGAGGTGAGGTCCGCCCCCCACTCATAAAAAATAACACTTTACCCCTGCCTATATGCCGTGAGCTGATTTTCGAGCCTTCATTGTAACAGTCGCGGGTGTATTGTGTGTGTGTGTGTGGGGAGTGTTGCAGTAAAAAATGCCACTGTAGTGCCGCCGCCACTGTGGGCTAAGCCCCGAATGTTTTCAGGTCCAGGCGACGCCCCTGGGCTGGACACCCCTTCACAATGATCATCATTGACTTTTTTTTAGACCAAATTATAGTCAGGCCACTAATGAGCTCAATAATTCACATGTATTATTACTTTATAAATTAAGAGTACTAGGAGTCTATTTCAAAACCTTTGAAGGAATCGTCATGCATTCTGAATGTTTCTGTACCTTAAAATCATCATGGCTCAAGATCCTGTTCTTGTTTAAGATTATTCATACTCATAATAATAATTTTTTTTAAACTCAAACTACCCAGTATGAACGTTTGTATAGCCCTTATTAAAAACATTCGGTCCTCAAGTTGTAAAATGTGCTAATAACGTTATTCTGAGAGTTATTTCCCTCGGCATTATCAGGGTTCCTGCGGGGTCTTAAAAAGTCTTAAAAAGTCTTAAATCTGATAATCTGAATTTAAGGCCTTAAAAAGGTCTTAAATATGACCAAAAAAATAAGAAAGGTCTTAAATATGATTTAGAAGGTCTTAAAAATGATCAGATTTGAAAGGTACTTCTGTGTTGCGATCGCGTCTAAATGTGTTTTGGGGGAAATGTCCGGGCTGCAAAGTAACCAGTACGGTAAGAGCCTTTCAGTTCCCCCCAACAATTTGTATTGAAATAAATCAACATGGAACCAGTAATCACTAACTTTGTTTCCCCCGGCCCCTTATTGGAGAACACCCAGCTAGTAACCTAGCAAGCAAGCTTCAGCTAGCGGCAGTCAGAAACTCATGTATCTTAGAATCTACTTAAAAATAAATATGGGGAAGTGTAAGTTCAACCGTATTTGGTTGGAAAACAACGAATTTAGTGCTTGGTTGAAACCAGTGGAGGGAACGTGTTTGAAGCCCGCTGCACCTTTTGCAAAATAAATTAGCGTTTGTTTTGCTAATGCAGCGTTAGCTAGTGCAGCAGCTCCCGCAACAACACCGGGGGACCTCCGGGCGACGTGTGGGTACGTCAACCCTAAAAAAAAAGCGGAGGTGCTGTAGACGCTAAATACCGTAGTTAAACACCAATCATACAACAGCAACGATGAAAGATTGTAGCCAAGGCAGCAGAGCTCTGAATATAGCTCTTGTCACTCTCACACACACACTTTGAAAACATCCATTTATTGAACTTTAAAACAAATAATAATTTGAACAGTATCTTTTTAACTGTTGATTACCCTGAACGTATAATTCAACTGCAAAACCAATACAAAAATAAATTAAATA